CCAATGCAGGGCTAGTTCACACTATGAGATCATGACCTGAACCAAAGAGTCAGAGGCTTAAGGGACTGAGCCACCCAGGCACCCCGAGCATGGAACTCTTGATCTTGGGGTCATGGGTTTGAGCCTCACATTGGGGGCAGAGTTTACTTAAAAAAATAAATAAACTAGGGCACCTTGATGTTGATAAAACCAACTGGTTGCCCTATTTTTCACACTTCAGTGGGGTCAACATTGTAACAGTCCTACTCCAGTTTGCCCAGAAGTTGTTTTCAGGCAAATTAGGCCTTGGTACTTAAGCAGATTCTTGAGAATCTTTGTATAAAGGAAATGTTCTATTATCTTTATAATTTCAAGTCCAAGAAATTTCTAATGAGCAAAATGAAAATTACAGCTGGATGATAAAAATGGAACTTGACACTCGAGTTTTTAAAGACCAGGCTGGCATTTTATTTTTCTATTCCCGACACTCCAATTCATAGGGGGTGAATGATAATAGAACATAATCAAAATAACATACAAACACAATTCAAGAACATTTAACTATCTACTGTAGCTGTTCTTTGTAAAATACATAAAGGTAAACAGAAACATCTTTATATAAATTATACTTAACAATCTGTATACACTATAAAACCATTGTTAAAATTCACACTGAGATGCTAGTGCAAGCAGTGGTGTACAAAAGTGCAAACAAGGTTAGTGATGAGAAATTTATCACTGACTTACCACTTCAACAAACTCTGCATTCAAATACTGAAGGCCTCACCATGGAAAACACTTTGATCACTTTTAAGGAACATGACTGCATTCACCCTGAGTGCTCTGGCCTCAGCATGGCAACTGACTGCAAGTTCAGTTTAGGAGCAGCACCAGGGAATAGAGAAACCCATGTGAAGTTGGCCGTTCTGATGTGAATCTTCACACTTGATAACGATCACAATTCCAAAGGCAACTTATATGTCAAAAGCTGTAGGATTATCACCCCCCTGTACCCCAAAATATTTAAAACTGAAATTAAATTGAATCCTCCCTTCCCCATTAAGATGTATGCTGAAGAATTCATCCACTCCAGTGCAGCTTTTCTAAAATAATTCTGTGTGAAATCACTCAAAATTCTGCACTAAAATCCATTTGGTTGGGGACACTCCTGAAACAAAGTTTACTTTGGATAAATTTGCTTACTCGAATTACTTTTGATTCTATTTAAAAATGTGGTCAAAGCCCTGAACAGTATATCAGTGGTATTAAAATGCACTAGTTATTTGATGTTCTAAATTATGAGAACAAATTAGTTCGTTCAGAACTGCATATTCAATAGATTCTGTAGATTCCCTTCATACTTTTTTATCGAGGTATGGTATGGGGGTGTGTGAGGGAAGATGGTTCCAGGATTCAGGAGTGGAAACATGGTTTTAACAAAATCCCAATCACTTTACACAGAGGCACAGTCCCATATTCTAAGACCTGTTAGTTCTTTCTTTTTTTGTTAAAAAGCACGAATTTGCATTTCAAAAGAACAGGGATGGAAGCATCACCATGTAGTTTTGAGAATTCAGACCTTAAATGAAGATAGACCGTTCTTCAAACACTTACATTTACAGCCAAAAAATTAGTTTATAGAAAACATTTAATTCCTTATTAATTTTGTATTAAGGAATTTATATTTACTGATCTCTATTTTTTCATGCTTTCTTGGAGATTTTTTGAAGCTTCATCAACTTTTACCTAGGTGTAAATGATCCAAACAGTATCTTCTAAATAAAATGAGTACAAGACACCTTGAAAGAGTTCACTTTACATTAGCTATTCTCACTGTACTCCGGTCAAAATATATTTGGCAATGAAGCCTTGCATATTTTCATCATGTGACTAACGACTGAAATGCCACAGTGAGTCACAACCAATACAGTTTCAGAACACATAAACCTTTCTCCTGAAACTCTCAAATCATGCCAACTAGAATTCTACGTCTTTTAATGATGGAACTTGTGAAAATGATGGGTTTTGAATGTGGCTGATAAAATCATTTTGCAGAAGGCAACACTATTATCACAGCTATTACCCTATTTTAATGATTTACAAGTAGATGGTGTTCTGGAAAACACTATAAAGTGTGAGCCCGCTGGAAACTAACAAACACCATTGTAAACAACATTAAATTTGTACATATACATAGGCACACAAAACTAAAATTGACATCTATGTAGGCAATATCTGAATTCATACATCTTTGGCACTCAAACATACTGGGTCAACCAAGCCAATGGTGAAGAGTATTTTTTCATATACTTTACAAAATGTCTTGCCCCAATTTTTAAAAATGCTGTGATCTCCATTCTAAAAATTAACTGAGATAAAGACAAACTGGAATAAATTTAAAAAATTATCCGAAAGCATAGTTAACAGCAGTCCCTGAAACAGGCATGGGGTTAAGAATTTCATTAAAAATGAAAAAGTGGGCTGAGACTTAGTCTTTTAGAGTTTTAGACTTAAGATTTTAAGACCTCTTTTGAGCAGTGCCTGATATATATGGAATCCAATCTTGTATACAGCAGTGTTAACAACTACATTTCACACCTTACAGTGTAAGGTACAAAATTAACCTATGTACCCAATGCTACCATTTATCCCCAGAATACTCTGCAGGTGGACCTACTTGCACAGACACATACACAGTATGCTTCCCCCGTATGCTTCTACTGTTTTTTGCCATTCTCTTTATTTGCTGCTCTTCAAGGGGAGCAGTGACTCAGTGTATGGACTCTGAGGAGCTGGAAGAGCAAGATGGTAAGCCCAATGGCTTGGGGACTCTGCAGGCCCATCTCTCTGGAGCTGCGGGAAAGCCAGGTGCTGTTAAGTGCAGCGTCATTTCTGGATGTTCAGACTGTAAGAATCTTACATCACTGGAAAAATATCCACAGTTTAGCTGTGGTCCACAAAGTGACTTTGTTTCTTTGATCCCAGTGTTAGAACTAGAATGAGAACTCTGGAGCAAGATATTTGGTACCAGAAAGCATTTTTCCTCTTTAGACAAACTAGTAAGCTTTCTCCTTTATACCAGTTTATGATACAGGTAACTGACTTTTCAATATCACAACATAAGGAAATAGTTGAAGAAAAGGTGTGTCCTTGTTGGTGCTGAAGACAGATACCAAAAATGAGAGGCAGGTACCTTTAATAAGGCCTAGTTCTGTTTAGTCAGGACACTTGAAATGAGTACTTTATTTAAGTAAGCTCTATACCCAACACGGGGCTTGAACCCACAACCCCGAGGTCAAGAGTCACATGCTCTACTGAATGAGCCAGCCAGGCGCCCCTAGAAGTACTTTAAGCACAGGTGGCAAAATAAGCCAGGAGGTTGATACATCATTTTGTACTTGTCCCACAGTGCCACTGAGGATTCTAAGCAGGGAGGAAGCTTGTATTTTTCATTTGGAAGGAAGCTTAAAGTGAAATAGAAGAGCCAAATTACTAAAACCAAATGTGAAATGAATGACCTTATTGGTTTGGCTACTGGTAATTCCTTCCAGTCATATTCATCAATCCTTATCTATCTACCTCGTATCTTACCTCATTGATGACAGAAAGGACTCTAATACATGGTTTGGAAAACAGCTACAGAAAACACTAATTCTGATATTAAAATTATTCTTGATGGAAGTGGAGCAATCTATTCTCAAAGGAATTGGTTACATACACTATAAATCTTAGTTTATAACCAAGAAAGAACTATCTTAAGTTTGAGAGTCTTTAAAAATACATATTTGGCACTTTCAGCTTATTTGAGTAATTATGAGAATCTCTGACATGGGAAACAAAAACCCCTTCAGTTTCTTAGAAAATTGAAGTGATTTAAAAAACTAAAATTTTGTTAGTAAGTCTATCAGGCTTGCAGACACTATCACACCACAGGCATTACATCTAAAACAAAAACCTTGGGGCGCCTGGGTGGCTCAGTCGGTTGAGCGTCCGACTTCGGCTCAGGTCAGGATCTCGTGGTCTGTGAGTTTGAGCCCTGCGTTGGGCTCTGTGCTGACAGCTCAGAGCCTGGAGCCTGCTTCAGAGTCTGTGTCTCCCTCTCTCTCTGACCCTCCCCCGCTTATGCTCTTTCTCTCTCTGTCAAAAATAAATAAAACATTAAAAAAAAAAATTTCAAAAAAGCCTTTGTGGGAGGGAGGATGGGCTAAATGGGTAAGGGGCATTAAGGATCTACTCGTGAAATCAATGTTGCACTATATGCTAACTAATTTGGATGTAAATTAAAAAATAATAAAATTAGTTAAAAAAAAAAAAGCCTTTGTACTATAAAAAGTAAGAGCTGAGAACAATTAAGAAAAAAGAAAATGAAATACAAGTATTCATTTATTTCTACCAAGAAATAAAATGTGCCAAACAATGCAGAAGAGCTATAGATAGGACCAGAATCCTCACCCATCTCTGACAACTGAAGCGGAAGAGGCTTTCTTTTTCCTCACACATACAGGCCTCCACACTGAAACTAGGCACAAAGATCCTGCTTGTCCCCCACCCTGGGAGTACCATTATGTAAAAGGGAGTGGGGAGTACCTCTAAACGTGGGGAGCCTGGTGCCTGTCACTACTTTTGGTCAAAAGGCACAAATTAACAAACTAGGCACCAATAAGTTTGGAACGCTTCAGAATTAGACTAGAATGGAGCTTTAGAACCTATCATACCCCAGATTAACCTTGTGTTGTACCAAAAGATGTGCTTTTCTTCAGAAGGCCGATCCCACAGCAACAAGGACATGGACCCCATCAGCACTACTAACGGTAGCATTACTGTTAAAAATACACATGATTCAGAGATAAATGTGGTATAATTTGCAACTGAACACAACTGGTCTCCTGGTAAACGCAAAAGTCTCTAGGGACTTAAACATTATTCTAAAAATTCTGAAGCCTTCTCCTTTCCCCACAACCTCCTCATACGTATGATGTTGCTCTACGACACATTAAAATGAAACATCTGCCCAACAAAGATGCCAAACATTAGGGTTTGTTTTATTGCATGACGTTTGCATAAGAAAAAATATTGAAAACTGTAAGGCATCATGCAATCATCAATAAGCTAATTATTAACTGTACACTTAAGATAGGTGGGCATATAATCTAAAATTTAAAAACTAGTTCCAAAATAGTACATAAAAATTTAACATGATGAGCTTTTAAATATGGTTTACATTTGTAATTTCACGTTGTTAAAAAGTGCTTCAGATGTACTGCTGGAAAGTTGTTCTTTACAAATGGCGCTGGGGGTAATGTCAGATTATAAACTGTAAAAACTAATTATTTTTATGGAATTAGAAAGCTAACATTGTGATATTCAAACTTACATTGAATTAGTTTTAAATTTGCACTCAAATTAAGTTGATATAATATTAATCTAAAAAACATCTGTTTTCTAACCAACAAAAGTCTATTGAATTCAAGTTATGCATGTTGAGTGATGAAATCTCTGAGTAGGCCTGAATGGTGAGACCTGGAACTGATGCAGGTTGTTGTTAATCAATGTACTGTGCCATCCAGCGGAAACCTTCGCCGTAACCTTGCCTTTTCAGCACGCTGCACATGAAAACTTCTAAGGGTCGGGCATTCAGTTCTTTCAGTGATACGCTGCCCTAGAAGGGAAGACAGACATTATGATGGATGACTCCTTTAGGAAATAAAAGCTCCACTTTACAGCAGAATTGCAGCTTATACATCTTAGAACAAAGGGTGACTGTGCTAAGCCATTGGTGTTGGGCATACAAGTCCCCTAGACACACAGGAAACCTCTCTCTTCTCAGTGGGGAAGAGGTGAGCTTGTGAGGCACACAAGAATGAAAATAATCTTTGACTTGAAAAAAAAAAACCCAACCTGGCTTCGCTAATATTAAAGACAAACATTTTCTGAGTACGTTTATGACTAAACAAGGCCATCTCCTAAAAATGGGGAGTTGACTTACTGAAAAGAAGACACAGAAAACAGACCAAAGTCTACCCTAACATAGGAGTCTCCTTCCAAAGACTGTAGTATGTCTCTACTCTGAAAGAATAAATATAACCAAGGAAATTTTGTGAACTCAGATTTTCCAATACTAAGGTCCCTCCCCCAAATAAATACTAGTAGAAATGCATGCAAAAATAATGTGTCTTAAAGCTTATTATAAAGTATTATGTTTACAAAATCCCCCAAACACTCCTGTGTTCAACTTTACATTTTATTTTGATCTCTGATGAACTCAGGGCCTAAATACACGACCAGAATGCTTAAACGTTCAAGTACGTTCTTTAGTGGCTAATTCTGAAAATCTATGATGAATAAAACTCTGGAAGCTTTAATTTAGTTTCCCATAAGCATGAGCTTTGATATGTTTATCACCAAGAAAAGGTTTCATTCAGTGGTAGAAATATAACCCATGAGGACATTAAAAAAGACTGAAATGTAGAAAGGACAGTTTTTAAGGGAAAAAAAAATTTAAAAAGACATTTGGTTGTACACTTGAAACTAATGTTACAGGTCAATTATACCCGACAACAACAACAACAAAAAGGTAGACCACCAGTTGGGCTAATAATAACCATGATTACTATTAGCACTAGTATTGGAATACAGTATTTCAGAAGATAAAAATAAATAAAACATTAAATTAAAAGACACTTATACTGTCAAATGAAATAGTCACACTTGTCCAAAAAAATTATTTTATTTACCTTTCCTGTTGTCTGACCATATAAACCAAACATCTCTCGCAACCTCTCTTCACTGATGGCTTCAGGTCTGTCAATCTTATTCCCAAGAATCAATATAGGCACATTAGCAATGGTTTCATCTGTCATCAGTGACTGAAATAAAACAAAAAATGAAAGACAAGATGTTGATATGAAACCATCTAAAAGGCTCATTATGACAAGGCCCCAAATGAGTATCAAAGACTCATACTCTATCATAATCATGTCAGTTTTGCAAACTATCTTTGGCAAACTTTTCCCACATTTGAGTGAGCTCAGAGGCGACTGGCTGGCTCTAGAGCCAGTAGAGCATGTGACTCTTGATCTCGGGATTTTGAGTTCGAGCCACACCTTGGGTGTGGAAATTACTTAAAAAAAAAATAAAATCATGGGGCGCTTGGGTGGCTCAGTCGGTTAAGCGGCCGACTTCGGCTCAGGTCACGATCTCACACTCCGTGAGTTCGAGCCCCGCGTCGGGCCCTGTGCTGACTGCTCAGGGCCTGGAGCCTGTTTCAGATTCCGTGTCTCCCTCTCTCTGACCCTCCCCCGTTCATGCTCTGTCTCTCTCTGTCTCAAAAATAAATAAACGTTAAAAAAAAATTAAAAAAAAAAAAATCTTAAAAAATAAAAATAAAGTGAGCTCAATGAAACCATTAGCTCAATTCTTCTGTTTCCCTAAAGTTCCTTCTGTAAATGCTCAACTCTACTCACTCTGAATCACTAAGGTACTAAAATGAACACCTTGAAGGTGGGCAGAACTGGTTTCAATTCTAGTTCTGCTGCTTATGAATAGTGAGATCTTGGATAAATAAGCCTCACTGAAGTTCAAAGAGAATTTACAATAGTAGCACCTACCTTATGGAGTTGATTTGAGAATTAAATGAGTTAATATACACGTGCCTGGCACAAAGTAAGTAGTCAGGAATTCCCTGACCCTGTTTCATGACCACAGAACCTACCTGGACTTTTCCACATGAACAATTATTTACTTGCCTGCTATAGGAAGACACATGGTCAGGTCAAATCATGCAATTTCTTTCTCTGTGGTCCCAGATCTAGCCCTGGCCCTCCCTGCTGTTCTGAATCCCTTTACAAAGCAGCTGTCCTGGGAGAGGAGAGAAGTGGCTACACGTGACCTGCTCACTCCTGGAAGTGGTGACAAAGATAGTATGTTATACCATTTCCAGGTTCCAGACAACTCCCGAAGAAAATGGCATCCTAGGATGATCAGGGACTCAAGACCAAACCACTCCAGGTATGTTGCAGACATGAAATAAAATACAAGGCACGCTGCACAGAGTGAGCTTAGGTCTTCGGGAAGAAAGTCTGTGTTAGCACTTCCTCCATAGCTACAATTATTCTAAGCTACTGTCTCTGCATTCCTAGCAGAATAATCACTGAGCTCCACAAACTGCCAGGAGTTATATCAGAGGCTGCACAAAAGCTGCACTCTGATACTTAGATCTCCAACCTATTTCCTCAAGCTTACCAGAATGATTCAACTATGTTTAGTTTTAGTTAACTTACATCAAGTTCTTCTTTTGATTCTAACAGCCTTTCATGGTCTGCACAATCCACCAGAAATACAATGCCATTGATAGCAGGAAGGTAGTTTTTCCACACTCTTCGAGCTAACAAAAACAATCAGGAGTTAGATTTTATTTGCTGGTCAAACCTAGCAGATGGTTTGATGGAAGAGTCCAACAAGATTTCAAGTGTAATTATCCCTTAGATGCTACTACTTCACTCAAGTTAATCTTTAACCTGGTGTTGCTAAATCTTTCCAGAAGAACAAGAAAGGCTTTCCTTGATGTGAGCAAGTCAAATACTTCACTCTGTCCCAATTTTCCCATGTTAGCAGTGGAATTAATATTTGCTACCAATGGACAATGATGCACATTAAGTTCATTGGATGACTCCTATTTTTTATATGCGGTATTCATTTTTTGACATTTCTAGTTTATCAGTTTTTTTGGCCACTGATAAATTTGTAGTCAGTGACAGAAGGAAGTCAGTACTGGGTACAGATTTGTTAAAACAAAAGCTAATTGTGTAACAGAAATTAACTAAAGTCAACGAAACCATTCAGGTAATATTTTCCATGACGGTTTTTAAAGGAAAGTTTTAGGGGTGCCTTATGGGTAAGCAACTTTTTTCTGACTTCAGTTTTATGACATATCTTAAAAACAATACAGACATTAAGTCTCAGACAAACTCCCTTAGGTTCCAATTTTCTCTAACCATTATATTCTGGAAAGTACTTCATATATATTTCAAACAATTATTATGTCTCCAAATGTGCATTCACTAGCCACAACCTCTTAAAATCTTTTCAACTGTTTGTCTTAAGAGGTTTTTACAATGCCCACAAACTTTGTAATATTCATTATTTATTGAATTACCATGTGCTGGGTACTGCCATGTCTTTTGAGGGACATAAAAAACGGACTCTAGTTCCAGAAAATTTAGTAGAAGAGACAACACAGTCTTTTCCAAACTTGCAGACGTTTACACAGATGCACTAAACACCACAGAAGTACAGTTGAGAGCACTCATAGGTGAGAGTGGCTTCTCAGGGGCAGTAGCCACAATTACACTGGGCCCTGAAGGTGGGTTACTCATGTGCAGATGGGGGTGGCATGAATTAAAAACACAAAGGTGGGAGAACACCAAGGGGTTTGGTTTGGTTAGAGTACAGAGAATAGGAAAGGGAACAGTGGAAAATAAAGACAAAAAATAAAGTGGGATCAGATTGCAGAGATCCTCAATGCCAGGTCAAGGAGTTTGGTTTTATTTGTAGGTCAGCCATTGAAAGTTTTTAATTCATAGCAGTAACATCATCATAATGTAATTGTGACCATCAGTGAGATATGGATTGGAACAGAGAACAGAACCTCAATTTTGCTTACACACTTTACACCAAAAGCAATTCAGATTTAAATTGACCAGGGGTATCATAAAAATCACACTTTGCTTTAAAGCTTATCTGGGGATAATAATTTTTAAATTTTAAGTCTACTCTGGCCTTTCTTGAATAGAATGAGATTTCATGCACAGGAAAATAATGGCTACATTTTTATTATGTTAAAATAAAATAAAGCTATTTATAAGAGTCATAGAATCTTACCTTGAACATGTCCACCCAGATCAAAAGTTGTAAAGGTCATGCCAGCAATGGTTAGTTCTTCTGAAGCTAAATAATAATACAAAATATTGTTACAAGAAAATCAGATTCCATACATGGTATATATTGCTACTTTGGTTTATTTTAACTGCAAATAAGCTCAAATCAAACATTTAGGAATTGATAAAAGAATTTGTTGGGGCGCCTTGGTGGCTCAGTCAGTTAAGTGTCTCGATTTCAGCTCAGGTCATGATCTCACGGTTTGTGGGCTCGAGCCCCACATTAGGCTCTGTGCTGAGCCTGCTTGGGATTTCTCTCTCCCAGCCTTTCTCTGTTCCTCCTCAACTTGTATTCTCTTTATCTCTCTCAAAATAAACATAAAAAAAAAAAAAAGAATTTGTTGTAATTAGATATACTCCAATTTATATTGACAGTTTAATACAAGTAATGGTAATAATCTAGTATTCACTACCCACCACAAATCCAACACTTTTGTTTTTTCCTTCTCTATTTTTCCTGCTGAAAATATTAACTATTCAGATAATTATTTGCTGTGAATTCAAGTAACTGTTTTAACCTAATAATTTTTCCTGTAATTCATTTTAGATGCTACCAGGGAAATAATTTTCCCTTGTAGCTCTCATATTATGCAAGTTACAGTCTTTAATGATAAACACAACTTTAATAAACATTCTCACCATTATTTCTTCAAACTGTTTTCTGTTCTCTCCCTTCTTCTGGGACTTCAAGTGTAAGTTTGCTAGACTGCTTGGTATTGTCCCACAAGTCACTGAGTGTTCATTTTCTTTTCATTTTTCTCTCTGTGCTTCATTTTACATAGTTTGTTTTGTGTTGACTTAAGTTCACAAGTCTTTCCTTCTGCAGTACTGGCACTAATTTACTATTAGCCTTGTCTAGTAAAAATTTCATTTCAGGTATTAAGTTTTCATTTCTACAAGTTCCACTTGGTTCTGTCTTATATCTTCCATTTCTTTCCTCATTCTGTTCACATTTTCCTTAAATCCTTAAGCACATTCTTTGCAGCTGTTTCAACATCCTTATCTGTTAATTCCATCATCTTAGTCACTTCTGGGTCTGTCTCTACTGATTAATTTTTCTCTTGGTTGTGGATCTCACTTTCCTACTTCTTTGCATGTCTAGCAATTTTTTATTGGATGCTAGACATTGTTGTATTCTTTTGAAGCAATGTGAACTTTATTCTGGCAGGAAAACTGCTTGCAGATCACTTTTTGTTAGGTTAAAGTAGTCTTTACTTTACAGCTACTTCAGCCCCATTACTAAGGTATGATTCTTCTGAAGTCTCTTTTGGAATGCCCTGTGTATTCAACCAGGTTTCTGCCTTCTGGCTGGTGGGAACATGAGTGATTCCTGGCCCCATATGAGCTCTGAGAATTATTTGGTTAACAGCCCTGCTACAGTTATTCTTTCTCCAGAAATTTTTCTGTGACTGGCCATGGGGAGTTTTACCCTGTGCACACAGATTGGTATTTAGCCACAAACATTGCTGGAGTTCTTTCTCTGCAGAGCTCCTTCCTCTGGTACTATGCCAAGCAAATTCTCATCACCTCAGCATCCCCATATTCTGGTCTCTGTCTCAACTCAGCAAGACTACTGTGTTTTGTTTGGGTTTCCTCTCCCTGCACCATGGTCTGAAAAGGATCTCTGTGATAAAGCTTGGATACAGAAAGGTTTTCCATCTCTCAGGAACCATAGTCCTCTGCTAGATATTGTCCAGTTCTGAAAACACTTGTATATATTTTTGTCCAGTTTTCTAGCTGCTTACAGTGGGAGGGTAATGCCAGACACTCTTACTCCATCAGAACCAAAAGCAGAAGTCCCTACGATCATAATGAAAGGCTCAGTGTAATTTTAACTCTTCATTACACCTGCTGAAGCCCCAGGGTACTTTCTTGTTAAAAAAGTATTTATGTAGACTCCTAAGTGAATGAATAATCAATACAGTTTGTGTTCAAAGTGTGTTTCTTTCCACAACGAAAATATAATGCTTGGATGTAGCTGGGAAACCACCTTTATGGTTACAATCCTTAATAGACTCTCTACTTTATAAAAAGTCCCAGTTTAATTAAGACACAGAAAACTCTTAATATCCCAGGAAGTCTTCCCCTTCCCAGTCAATGTCCACTCCCAGAAGCAATAATTCCAGCACCACAGGTTTGTTGTGCCTATTCTACAATTTCATATAAATGATACCATAACGTATGTAACTTTTTGTGACCAGTTTCTTCCATGCAGAATATGCACCATATGTAACAGTTTATTCCTCTTTCTTATTGAATAGAATTTCACTGTTTATCCTTTTTTTTTCTTTTTTTTTTTTTTTCTTTTTATGGCTATTTGAGCTGTTGGGGGCAGTTGGGGGATATTACAAATAATGCTGGCATAAACCCTGTTGTACAAGGATTTTGGTAAAAATATGTTTTCATTTCTCTTTGATACACACTTAGCAATGGAACTGTCAGATCATAGGGTAGATACATGTTACCTTTTCACATATGCTTTTGATTAATGCAAAATGTAAGATAAAATGAATGTGAGCTGTAGGAAAGTTGAGATGGCAACTATTTTGTGCCACTGCTTTTAGTCCTGGTACTTAGAATAATGTGTGACATAAAGTAGGTACTCAAATATTTGTTGAATAAATGAGAGCAATATCAAAAAATTTAAAAAATGGGGGCACCTGGCTGGTTCAGTCAGTAGAGCGTACACTGTATGTCTGAGCCCCACATTGGGTATAGAGATAACTTAAAAATAAGATCTTAGGGGTGCCTGGGTGGCGCAGTCGGTTAAGCGTCCGACTTCAGCCAGGTCACGATCTCACGGTCCGTGAGTTCGAGCCCCGCATCAGGCTCTGGGCTGATGGCTCAGAGCCTGAAGCCTGTTTCCGATTCTGTGTCTCCCTCTCTCTCTGCTCCTCCCCCGTTCATGCTCTGTCTCTCTCTGTCCCAAAAATAAATAAACGTTGAAAAAAAAAATTTAAAAATTAAAAAATAAATAAATAAATAAATAAATAAATAAAATAAGATCTTAGCCCCACTCTTTTCCCAGGATAACAAAATTTTATGACATTTTCCTTTCCAACTTCACTATCAATTTCATCGATAAAATGGTACTTTTTGTCATTGTTCTCTGTCCTTGTTCTCTGAATATTTACTGAATTAAATAACTATCATATTATCCACTTTTTGGCCCTGTTCTCAATTCTATTCTCATTTTTATTAAAAATTTTTTTAACATTTATTCATTTTTGAGAGACAAAGCATGAGTGGGGGAGGGGCAGAGAGAGAGGTAGACACAAAATCTGAAGCAGGCTCCAGGCTCCAAGGTGTCAGCATAGAGCCTGATGTGAGTCTTGAACTCACAAACTCTGAGATCATGACCTGAGCCAAAGTTGGATGCTTAACTGACTGAGCCACATAGGCATCCCTTTTATTTTTTTTTTTTTAAGTATATTTATTTTGATAGTGAGTGAGTCAAAGTGAGCAGGGAGAGGCAGTGAGAGAGGGAGAGAGAGAGAATCCCAAGCAGGCTCCACACGGTGAGTGCAGAGCCCAGTGCAGGGCTTGATCTCATGAACTGTGAGATCATGACCTGAGCTAAAACCAAGAGTTGGACTATTAACCAACTGAGCCACCCAGCCACTCAATAAAACTATTAAAATTCATTTTACTCTATGTCGACTTGATTCATAGACTTTTCAACAGTAAAAGCAAGGTCACAGATATTTATAAGGCATATGTTCTAATAATTTTGTCACTTTAATGTTTACTTTATATAAAGGATAGTATGTATTATATAAAGGATGGTATGTATTAAGTGATTTACAGAATCATTGTTAATGTCTTTCAGGGTAGTCTGTCTTAAAGAAACCACAGTAAATTATTTTTTTAAACTGTTTTAAAACTTTGTATAAATGTATCAATATGTGCCCTGTTTTTTGGAATAATTCTATGGTCTTTATATTAGATACTGTTGAGGTTTCTCAGATTAGAAAAATAAACGGTTAATAAATTGAGAGTAACTAACAAAGTATAATATGACTATAATCTGCCCACACTGAAAAAGGATTAAAATAGTAGTTTTAAAATGTGAAAGAAATTAGGTTATCTAGACAAGGTAATGGTGGGGGCGCCTGGGTGACTCAGTCAGTTAAGTGTCTGACTCTTAATCTCACGGTCCTCAGTTCAAGCCCCATGCTGGGCTCTGCAATGGGCATGAAGCCTACTCAAAATAAATAAATAAACAAGGTAATGGTGACTATTTATAGCCTAAGCAGTATCTGGTTGGATAGACCTCAATCATGTTATAATCCCCGAGAAAGTAACCTTAATTCCTCTATCTGGAGAAGGGTGTACAAACTGATAAGAAGATAGGAGTATTATTTCAAGATCTAAATATACACCCTGGGAGTGGGTCAGCTATTATTTACTGTATTATTTTAATAGGTCAAATCACCTGATCACAATTATCCACCAAAACCCAAAAAACTTTTGGTTAGTGCCTATGAATTATTATCACTTAATAAAGTAGTTTGTTGCATGGGGGAATATACTTACTGGGATGTAACGTCGGGACATGCTGTCCAAGTCTGTCATCTTTTAGCATGTGTAGCAATGTTGTTTTTCCTGCATTATCCAATCCAAGAAATACCAATTTACCAGTTTTCTTATATAATCCTGCAGAGTAATAAGACCTATGATTAGTCAAAGTGCTATCTGACAGATTATTCAAGTAAAATGACTTCAAATAAAAGTATAATATAAATATAATTATTTACAGTTTAGTTATTTGGATATTTTCCCTAATTACTCTAGATGTTTTATAAAGAAACACCTATTAACCTTTTGAACTTGTAAGATTTTATAAATTTGCTTGAATAAAGTTGGATTTCTAGTCTAATTTCAGTTTTGAAGAGCTATTTTAAATCTATCATGATTTGCAAATTCAGATCATTTTAAACCTAAACTTTGTCCCAATCAACGAATGTGTATTATCCAAACTTATCTGCAGTGCCAAAATGCTGATTCCCTTGACAATTTAGGAATAAATATCTATGTCCACTACTAGAGGAACAAAAAAATGCTTGAGATCATGTACTTATGAAACGAGACAAAAAGGGAAATTAAAGAGATATCCATGGATGAAAATAAATTAAGTAGTTTTGACAATAAAAATCATAGTGAGTTCTTGCAATAGAAAGTTTAGGTCATTGTCAAATTTCCCTGAGAAAATAAGGTTGAACTATTCATAGGATTGCATAAAACTAAAGCAACAACAAAAAACCCAAGCACGTAATTTTTTAAATGTATCAACCGAGTACTGATAGATGAAGTAATAGAAAAAAGAGGGCATTGACCAGTTTATAGATTGGCATTTGTTGAGAAATTCCATATTGAGTTTTTTTTCTAAAGGCTTTTTTTCAGTTTTAGGTTCACATCAAAACTGACAGGATGGTACAGAGATTTCCAATATACTCCCTGTCCCCACACATATATATAGCCTCTCCTATTATTAACATCACTCACGAAAATGGTACATTTTTAACCAACAGTGAACCTACATTGATCGATCATAGTCACCCAGAGTTTCCTTAGGGCTTACTCTTAGTAGAGTACATTCTGTATTTTGACAAACATATAAGGACATATATCCATGATTATAATATACAAAGTATTTTCGCTGCCCTAAAAATCCTATATGCTCTGCCTATTCATCCACCCTACCCGCCCTGCCCAGCAACCATTGATCTTTTTATTGTCTCTGTATTTTGCCTTTCCAGAATGCCATATAGTTGCATATGACACATAATTGTAATCATACAGTCAATTGAGATTGACGACTTTCACTTAGTAATATGCATTTAAAGTTCCTTCATGTCTTTTCATGCCTTGATAGCTCATTTCTTTGAGCTTAGTAGTATTCCATTAAGCAAAATTCCTTAGTGCTTAGTAGTATTCCATTATCTGGATAAACCAGTTTATTTATCCATTCACCTACTGAAGGATATTTTGGTTCCTTCTAAGTTTTGGCAATTATAAATGAAGCTGCTATAAAATCTTTGTGCAGGTTCGTATGTGGCCCTAAGTTTTCAGCTCCTTTGGGTAAATGCCAAGGAGCACAAGTGTTGGATTGTATGGTAAGAGTATGTCTAGGTTTGTAAGAAACCACCAAATTGTCCTCCAAAGTGGCTGTACCATTTTGCATTCCAAGCAGTGAATGAAAGTTCTTGCTGCTCCACATCCTCACCAGCATTTGGTGTTGTCATTGTCCAGATTTTGGACACTCTTATAGGTATGTAGCAATAATGAATTTTATTTTCCATATTTAATTGTCTAACACCTATGGAATTACATGAGGACAGGGGACATAGTAGCAACTCAAAAATATGTTTACTCATCAAAAAAATGAACTTTTGAAGACATTAGGCAATGCTAATTCAGGTTACTCATTTTTTAATAAGTCCACACCAAAATAATACCTAACTCTTTCTCCACATTGATGCTTAAAAAGTAAATTGTTTGAAGTCCTAATGTTTTGATCACTCAGTGCCCAACAGTTCTGATCCTAAGGGGAAGATTGTCTTCCATATTTATTTGAGCTGAGATACTATATTTCTCATTTAATCATGAACTGTGACTAATAATTTTTTAAACACTTCTATTTCTTAAAATGTTTCTACACAGGTGGTTTCTAATCAGTGCAATCACAATCTTTCCTACCTTTTAAGTAGTAACAGTGCACTGGGTAAGAATCCAAAAGGGAACACCTAGGACATTTAAACTTTAATCTTGAAAGCGGGTTGGACTAAATCCTTATTTTGTGATAAGCACTGTTAAGCATTATACATTACTTCATTTAATCTTCAAAATAACTCTTTGAAGTACACATTATTCTCTTTCTTACAGAGGGGAACAAAGGCTCAAAGTTAACTTGCTCAAATGCTGAGGTCAGATCTGAGATAGAACCCATCTTTGATGCAAAAGCTTTGGTTCATTTCCATTTCTCTACACTGCCTCCTACTGTTAGCCCTATTAACCTCTTGCTCCTGCTTATGAGTCCATCTATTTTGCCTTTACAATGTAGTTCCGCATTAAATCATTTTTCTATCAACTGAGACACAGATACTTGTCACAACCCAGGTTATCCCAGTATAATGAAGTTGAAAACATTTATTTCTGACCCAGTTTTTGTACATATGTAACAAAATATTTCAGTCTGATAAAAATATGTAAGAATTCTTGAGGAGGTAGTATGGAAAGATCTGATATTTGACCTGTAGTAGAGTGACAGTATAAGATAATGTGAGGGATTTTATTTTAAAAAGGACAAAAAAGGAGCACCTGGGTGGTTTAGTCGGTTAAGTGACCGACTCTTGATTTTGGCTCAGGTCATGGTCTCATGGTTTGTGAGTTTGAGCCCCACATTGAGCTCTGTGCTGACAGTGAGAAGCCTGCTTGGGATCCTCTCTCTCCCCCTCTCTCTGCTTCTCCCCGACTCATGCTCTCTTTCTCTCTCAAAAATAAATAAATAAAAATTAAAAAAAAAGAAAACTGGTTTTTAAAAATTTGCAAATATTGAGGTCCATATAAGAAATAAAAAGACTGATAAAATTTGATCTTAAATTTTTATCCTTTTAATATATAGTGTCAAACAAGATGTGTATTTTCCAAACAAAATTTATTTCCTTGGTTAAGATTATGTTTGTGGAAGAAAAAATATTTATATAGGAGATAACAATTCATAAGTACAGTTGTGGCCAGTTAGGAGTTACGTTGACAACTCTGTAATTACATGAAATGCTTCTCTTTGTGCCAGTTCAAGATGATGATTACATGGAGACTAAACTTAGGGTAAGATTTGAAAACAGGAGATCAGAACATCTTCATTAATTACTACAATAATAAAGTTGTATACATGGTAACATAAAAGTCAATCAAAAGCTTGTTTCACGGAAAACATGAGAAGTTAAGAATGTCAGTAAGAGAATGAGATGCTATGATTTTTCCTCTTTAATATCTATAAAGAGAGGAAAATCACTAGTCAGAATTGCTGGGTATACAAGTCTCATTTAGCAGATTTTATGCTGCCATTTACAAGGCACTTGATGGAACATAAATTTATAATAACAAAAATAATGCAGTGAGTTTCTGTGAGGATTAAATGAGATAAAGTATCTAAAGCACTCAGAAACTTTTTAGGTAAACTGGCTAATCACAGGTAGCTACTCCTGTAAATAATATTCCTATCAACAACCTTAAAAGAGGTAGGAATTACTGTTAATTTACAGATAAGGAGACTAAGGCTAAGGTAAAGAAAGTAATTTGCCCAAGATTACATAATTTATAAGAGATATACAATGAGTAATTTGAACACATTTGTATGATTTCAAAATTCACATTCACAACTAGTGGATTATACATAAAGAGGCTCTAGACAAATAAGCACTTTTATTTAAGTAGGATTAAATGGGATAACAATAGAGAACAAAGGGCCAACATTACCTAAAAACTGTAGCACACTGCTGAAACCACTGTAAATCCAGTCAAATATGAAGGACATATCCAAATTCTTATAGAGTCTGGAAAAGAAAGTGTTTTGAATTCAGTAGTTGACATTAAACACCAACAACATTAAACATGAACTCTGAGTAAACAATCCTATAACAAACTTCCTATAAAGAGTTTAACCATTCTTTTTTGTTGTTGTTTATTTATTTTTGAGAAAGAGAGTGCACAGTAGGTGAAAGTCAGAGAGAGGGAGATAGAAGATCCAAAACGGGCTCATGCAGACAGCGGAGAGCCCAATGTGGGGCTCGAACTCACAGAACCGCAAGATAATGACCTGAGCCGAAGTTGGAGGCTCAAGTGACTGAGCCACCCAAGTGCTCCCCCCCTTTTTTTAATGTTTATTTGAGAGAGAGTATGTAAGAGTGAATGCACAAGTGGGGAAGGGGCAGAGAAAGAGGGGGACAGAGGATCTGAAGCGAGCTCTGTGCTGACAGCAGAGAGCCTAATGCAGGGCTCAAACTCACTAACCGTGATCTCATGATCTGAGCCAAAGTTGGACACTTATCTGACGGAGCCACCCAGGTGCCCCAAGAGTTAGCTATTCTTATCCAAGGTGATCTAATCAGATACCTACTGATGCATAAAACACAAAATGCTATTAAATACAAACTAGTGGGGCTCAGTTGGTAGAACATGCGACTCTTGATCTCGGGGTTATGAGTTCAAGCCCCATACTGGGTGTAGAGCTTACTTTAAAAAGAAAGGGGAAAAAAGGCCTCTATTTTTAAAAAAACAACAAAAAATTTTTTTAATTAAAATAGAAATATGAACTAGAGACCATTCTTTACCAACCACAGTGGCAAACCTGAAAATGAACTGTAATAGCTGGAACTAGAAAAGATGTGGTAAAAGATGCAGTTAGTGGCAGTATAAATTGTTACAAATCTTTTTAACGACTAATTTGGCAGTAATCTGTATGTTATACCATCTGACCCAAGAATTCTACTTTTAGAAAATGTCCTAAATATAGACAATCTTTATGTATCAAGATGTGCATCAAAGTGTTATGTAAGAAAATTTTTGGAAATAATCTATATTCAAGAGTAAGTTAAGGTATATATGGCCTATGAAATACTTACCAAAACCTTGGAGTGGAGGAAGAAAAAGCAAGGAGAAAGAGAGGAAAGGAAATTTATGATAATGAAGTAAGCTTTCAAGTCTGATTATACCTATGTGGAGTAAAACCCCCTTTTCCATTACTTTTGGTCTTTTGTAGCAAATGATATCAGGTGGTCGATTTCTGGGCTTGTAATCTTAGTGCATTTTTCAAATTTTAATCGTATTACCGAATGTTAAAAAACATTTTTTTAAATCACAGTAGAAAATACAGAGTATAGTTCAATTTAGCATTTCTTTGACATGTTCTTGATAACTAATAAAGTTAATATGGAAAGAAGAGGGGGGAAAAAACCTCTTGAGAAATGAAAGAATATACAAAAGTATACTTTCAGATCAACAAAGTTAATTTTCTAGAGGTAAACAAAATCCAGGCCCAAAATTTGGGCCAAGTCCGAACAATTTGAAGGATTCTGCTATTTTTGACGTTCTTTAGACAAAGTGTGACACACAGCACTGCTTTCTTTAACCACCTCTCAGTCCAGTGGGCTGCCAACTGTGACCCAGACGGGCCCACCAAACTCAGAATTCCTTGAGGATAAGGTGTTTAAGAGATTACATTGCCTTGAGAGTGAGAGTCAACCTACCTCCAGTTTATAGGTGGCCTACCAGTATTTACTAGGGGATTCCCTGGATCCAGGCAATAGCCTCTCCTCTCTTTCAGTTCCTTACTTGAACTAGCAAGAGAAGAATTTTGCTCTTGAAACCAGTCCATTCCTGACTGAGAGTGACTCACAAATAACGAAGTTTCATGTGTCAGTATCACAAGAATAAAAACTAGAAGAGCAACTTATATATACACACAAGAATCCATTGTTACAAGTTCTTATTTTACTGAAGCTGAAAATTACATCTTGTTCTATTATTATTCTAGGTTATGCAGAAATTGAAACTTGTAGTCACAAAAAATATATACAAGTGGTTTATCTTTTCTGAAGATTTTTAAGTAAGATATATCATAATTTTCACTGTAAAGAATCAAAGCAATGGTTTACTGAGATATTTTAATTCAATAATGATTACTAAATTCGTATTATGTCCAAGGCCCTGAGCTAGACACCATAGGGGATACAAATACTAATGATAAACATGGCTTCTTCTCTTGAAAAGGTTATAGTCTAGAGAGGTAGGTTAGCTATACAAATGTAATTTAACTGAAAAAAGTTAAAACTGAATAGGATATTACCTAGGATGGTAACAACTTACCCTATAGAATTTCAAGACTTATATAAACACAAAGAAAAAAAATGCCCATTGTAAATCATAAGCTGTGAGGGAATTAATGATCATAACAACATAAAATCAGAATAAAAATAAGCAATACAACAGGAAAGGGTATGGTACCCTCACAAATATACTTTGAATTCTGTATAAGAAAACAGAAAACCAGTCTTCCTTGCACACTTCTACAACGGCCACAAGTTGTAGGTAAGTAAAGGTTTCTTGGGTGATGTTCAGCCCGAATCTTGAAGATTAAATAAGAGTTTGCTAAGTGGTTATGAGGGCTATACTATGTGCAGTGGTGTGAAACTAAGTGGGAACAGCAAAAAGTCAGGTACTGTGAGATGATGTGACTGGTTAGGGGGCCACAAACTGAGTCACTCAACAGATGCTAACAAGGGAGGCAGGAGTCAGAATGAGAAATAGGAGACTAAATTTAGGCATTTGGTCTTCCATGTTTGCTACTATAACATACGGACAGAAGAAACAATACTTACTCGGTCTTTCAATTTAATAAAGCAAAGCAAACAAAAAATAGCAGTTATCCCTATGAGCACTATGATTTGTCAAGAGGTTAAAAACAGAAGCTATGGAGCCAGGACTTTACCACTTACCATTTACCTTAGCCAAGTTACTTGAATATCCTTACCTGTAAAATGGGGGTAATACTAGCTATCTGAGATGGTTGTGAAGATTAAATCAATTACTACACACAAAGTATATAGCACAGAGTTAAGCATTCAATGTTAGCTGCTGTTACTATTATTTCTTCTACTTATATGACCTAACATACCGGGCACTTTATGTGACCACTAAGCACCCCAACAACCTTTCAAAATAAATACTGTTTGTTTTTAAATGCCTACTTACTTTTGGGGGAGAGCAAGTGAGCAGGGGAAGGGCAGAAAGAGAAGGAGACACAGAATCCAAAGCAGGCTCCAGGCTCTGAGCTGTCAGCACAGAACCCAATCCGGGGCTCGAACTCACGAACTATGAGATCATGACCTGAGCTGACGTCTGACACTTAACCAACTGAACCACCCAGGCGCCCCAATACTGGTTTGTTTTTTTTTAAGCTCTGTGCCCAGCGTGGGGCTTGAACTCAACCCTGAGATCAAGAGTCACATGCTCTACCAAAGTGAGCCAGCCAGGCATCCCAGAATAAATACATTATTGTCCCCACTTTACAGAAGAAGAAACTGAAGTTGCAATAGCTAAAACTCAAGTCTTAATGATTGGCACATCTAAGTACCAAACCTGGGTCTTACTGACTTCCAGGTCCATGCCCTTTCTCCTACATTGCAGTAGCTTTGTAACAAAATTTTAAAGGTTTATATTTATTTAAATGATTATGTACCATTTTTTGAATCACTCTACCTTACGACTCTGACATGTAATTCCTCTCTCTCCCTCTCATCCCCCATCCAGTTGCTTATTTCCCAGCTCTATCAATTTCTGTAGTCTCAGCATTCTTTTGATTCCTACAGGAGCTTTGTGATGAACCTTAAATCACATTCCCGAACTACCATCTTAACCTCATATTTTGTCTGTACCAATCTGTACATGCCCTCCAGAGTGGCTTTATGAAAATGTCATCTTAGACTTGACTTGTTGCATAGTCAGGGTGACTGTAACTCCTCGTTTGCTGGGGACAGTCTCAGCAAAGTTATCTCGGTATAATTATCAATAGTGTGTCCTTTCATTCTCAAAAGCATCCTGATGAGGTGTGAAATTTATATGGTCACCCTATACCTGTGGATAGAGAGCCATTGGAGGTCTGTGAGATGAAAAATGATTCAAACTCCTAGTCCAGTATTCCAGAACTTCGACTATAAACCTTCTGGCCACCTTTACAAGCTTAATACACATCCTCCATTTATAGCTTTCCCTGAACCAAAGTAAACCACTTCCCACTCACTGCTGGTGACCTGAACTCAATCATCTTAACACTTCTGCTCATTCTCCTTCCCAACATCAGAATTTCCCCCACCAGCTCTGCCTAAAGATCTCCTGCCTTAAGCATGAGCCAAATACTACAGAAGAAATGAGTTTTCACTTGAGATGGACTTTAAGGGACAGATGGGGGTGGAAGAACTGACAGAACCCAGTAAGGGGAGAAGAATTAGAAGAGGTGATGGCACAAGTGGAAAGAAGTTAGCCCCAAGAAGTCCAGCTGCAGAGATGTCACAGCTTGCTTTGTGGCAAGGAGACAAATGCTGAGAGCATGAGGAGCCTGCATGGAACAAAAATACAGGAGAGCCTGTGGCCAGTGCTTAAAGCACTAGAGCTGGTCTCTAGAGTCATGACCTGTGTGACAAGTTCCTTCTGCAAAATCTCTGAGTGTTGTAAAGATCAAATGAGATAAAATGCACAAAATAAGTACTTAATACCTGGTTGCTGTTATTACTGAGAAGCAAATTGGATAGAGGGTCAATAGGTGGAGGGAGTAAGGAAAGATTCCTCTTTCAAAGAGTTTGAAATGGAATGAGGGAAATGGGAGTTTCTTCTTAAGAAGTCTTCTTTCTTCTTAAGCCTTAAGGAGGGTAAGGCTTGAGTATGTTGATAAGAAGGAGCTAGCAGAAAGGGAGAAATTAAAGATACAAGAAAAAGAGAAGGAAGGAATTAACCAAAAGGGGCAAAGTCTCAAGAGGAGCCAGGGATGAGAGTGCATCTC